CTGCCCCCCACCCCACCAGCCCACTGTCCTCAGGAAATGGCACGGCCCTCCACTGTGTTTTTCAGGGTAGAAGCTCAGCCACCTAGGATTCTTTTCTTTCTTTTATCACTCCCACATTCAGCCCATCAGCAAGCTCTAGCAAGATCTGCAAACTCTGTCTCTAGCACGCCCACTGTCTCCATTTCCATGGCAACCCCCACCTCCTGGTCCAGGTCATGGGGATACTAACTACAACCAATCAGCGGCGATAGAATGTCCTCCCTTGTATCCTCCCTGTGTCCTCTGGTTTCCCTTACAGTGAGGATGAACCCTTAAAGCTATAAACCCGCTCCTGCCACCCTTCTGCCTACCCTTAAGGGGGTGCCTGCTGCGCCTGGAGTGAAATCCGGCCTTGATTCCATGGCCAACAGCATCCTGCATGTCTGATCCCGATTTGTCTCTTCAAATTCCTCTCCTTCTACTCTGCCTGGGAATCATTGAGTGTCCAACACCCCGGTGTCCTTTTGTTTCCTTAAGCACGCTCAGCTGGGGAAAGCCCACGGCCCTTCCATGCGCTCTTTTCCCAGTCTAGAATGTTCTTCTCCTGGCTGTTTATATGACTGGCTCTCCCCCCTCATCCAGGTACCATCTCCTGAAATGGTACTTCTTCTCCGCATGTCTTCCCTTCCACATCTGCTGTCACCGTCAGGATATTTTTCTGTCTTTCATCTCCTGTGTATTTCCTTCAGAGCGGTGTCCATAGGCAGAATTCCTTTCTTAAATTGCTCCGAGTCTTCTTTCCTGACTTTGCCTTTCTTTCCCGGTGGAAGTCAGCTCCGCAGAGCCGCCCCTCGCTCTGCTGTGAGTCCTACTAGAAGCCCGATATGGAGTGCAGTCCCAGGTGCAATGCTGAGTCTCCCATCCACTGGCCGTTGAGTGAACAAAAGGATCAGCAAAAGAAATAAGCAGCGGTTAGGGCTGGGGACTATGCAGAGAGGACAAGGAAATGGTTCTCGCTCCGAAAGATGTACCGTGATAAGCATGAAACCAAAATAAACTCATCTGAGGTGTCGATGAAGCCCCTTGTGGCAAAAAAGCAACGTTGCGACAGCAGATTTTTCTGGGCAAGTTCCTGAAGAAGAATGTTCTCTGGACTTCCTGCGGAATTGCAGAATTATGTTGCTGTCATGACTTAGCATTTAGTAGGACGTGTTCTGCACACATTTGAGCAATGACGTAGATTTAGTTCATTCGCATTATGCTTCAGTGTTCTCCTCGTCCGTGAGCATATTTAATTAACCTTACGCCTGTGCAGTGATTAGGAGAGTCAGTATTAAATGAGAAGTAACAAGGCAGTTCACTTAACAAGGATGGTTCCTGTCCTCAAGGAGCCTCACTGATGAGTAGGGGTGATAATCTTCCAAAGAAATCCTCACCGTCCTTCGTGGTATCAGGAAACATCATTAAGAGACACAGGAGTCACGAAACAAAGGAGAGCAAGTTGGCAGATTCGGTTCGAGCATGGACAACGTCCTGAAAAGAGGTGACTGTGGAGTTGGGTCTTGAAGGAAGAAGAATTTGCTAGGTGGGAAGACTTTCCAGGCCAGGGGACAGAGTCCAGGGGCCACAGACACATGGGAGTGCCATGGCGGTAGCATGTTCTGGAATCCCTGCCACCAGAGGGAATAGGCACTGAGGTTCAAGGGACAGGCACAGCCAGATGGTGGAATGGGGGGTCTTTGAATGGTTTTAATCCTGAAAGTCACGGGGTGATGTCATTCACATTTTACAAAGGTCATTAGAGGATGGATGTAGCTTCCAGTGGAAGGCTCTGGTCATGGAGTTGGAAGGCAGGCAGGAGATCTCCCTAGAAAGTACAGAGACAGGGAAGGGTCAGAGATAGACCTTAGGAGAGCAGCGGCACTTAGATGGGGAGGAGGAAAGTGGATTTTTAAAGGAAAGAGCTGGATTCTTTGTAGTGGTGACAGATATATATAGATATCGATATCGATATCTATATCTATATCTATATATATAATGTATCACACAAGCCGAGAGAAGAGATTTTTTTTTTTTTTTGGAGGGAAGGAGTGATTAATGTCAGAAAGATCAGGTAAAAAGTCAGAGGGCAGGGCTGGATTTCCTAACGGAGGTGTCTTTAGCAACTTTAACAAGAGTAGAGGTGGTGGGCAGATGAGGGCAAGAGCCACATGCGTGGTGTGTTGGGGGAATGAAAGCAAACTGGGAAGATGAATTATCATCTGCAGGGCAGAGCCATGGGGGCGGTGGGGGGCGGTTAGGGGGATGTTCTCATTTGTTTGCTTTCCTTTGCTTATAATGAACAGTTGGGATTTGCCCTTGCAGAGAGAGGAAACCCGGAAGCTGGGTTCTCAGTGAGGAAGAACTGGTTTGGGGTATAGCATTTCTTTAGACGGGTTGGGCACAAGAATAGGGAAATAAGCAGAAAAGGGTGAGATGAGTTAAGTTTGGGGCCGAAGGGTACAACAGGGAGGGCATTTCTAGTCTTGGGGGGACAGCACATTAAGAGAGAGGGATACTAAAAGGTGGCAAGGGGAAAGGTGATTGTCCAGAGCAGGTGCTAGGGAGGATGGGAGAATGGTCCCTTGGGGTGTGGAGGCTTCCGCTGAGCATGAAGGCCCAGCCCCCCACCCCACGTCTCTGCCTGTCCACCTGCAGCAGCCTGGACATCGGGTCCCGGCTTGGAGGGATCCTGGGCAGGCCCACCTGGAGGTCAAATGGGGCAGGCTGCTTAGAATGCTGGTGAGGTCACAGGTGAAGTGATGGGCATGAGCAGCAAGGACGGTCAGAGGAGAAGGTGCACCGTGAGTGATGGAAGGAGGGAGCTAGTCCTGGAAAGACAGGAGGCTTTTGGGGAGCAATCTCTGAATTCTCTGTCTAACCTGGCATTTCTTCCCCAGTTCCCTGGGAAGGTACTTCTGCGGCATTTCTGCCACTGCTGCCCGGAACAGTGCGTGGAAAGTCTTGGAATTAAACTCAGATTCTCTGGCTTGGTGTATGGCTCTCTGGAGTCTTGGGGTGGAGTTTTGGGGGGTGGATTTGAGTGTTTGCCAAGTCATCCAGAGCCAAGTTTGGTGAAGAAAGTAGACAATCAAGCCGGGTAATACCATTTTCAGTAGAAATGGAAATGTGGATTTAAATAACAGAACTGTTTTTCTTACGTGGTTTGTGCCAGGCCCTGACAGCAGTTTCTAAAGAGAGCAGTGACAACATCTTTGGAATGTATATAGCCTCTCAGAGTCACTCGTTTGAGGGAGCATTCTTTCGGATGTAAACATCTTAAGAGATTGCGGGATCACATGCCTTTAGAGTTTTGTTGTACCCAGTAAACACCCGCTGATACAAAGTCAAGCAGGCTCATAACATTATATCAGGACAGTCTTTCTGTATATATTAGAGCAATCCATGATGCCAACACCATATTGGAAGTGGCGAGACCGAACCAGAATATTCTCTAGCCCACTTGGCCTCCTCTGTGTTTGCGATCTGTTTCTTTACTGGAAACTGGGAAAACATCATTCTTGTCAATTAGCGTTTGTCCAACACCTTATGGTCCCTAGACGAAAACTCATGACAGAGGCACACCTCGAGCCATTACGTTGCCAAACTGAACATCAGCTGTTAAAATTTGCTACGTTTTGGGGAGAATCTGTTGGCTCTCCAGCTACTGGAGGTACCGGAAAGAAGTGGTACATTTTATAGCCGCCTGGAAAATAGCTACGCCCCGTGGAATAATTAACCGGGAATGGCCATTTGTAGCCAAGAGAGGAAGATCCCTTGCCTGAGTCTCGAGAGAAGCAGAGTCCATGGGCTCCAACCAGGGAGCAGACCTGTTTTGTCCACCTCCTGTACGAGATTCACTTACCTGAGAAGGCATTGTTCTCGTTTGGGTGGCTCCCCTCGCACGCTTTCTGCTTAAGTTGGCTCCTTACCAAAAGACAAGGAATATGTCATCTTTCCTCGTGGGGGAGCACCACGGGCGTCTTGGCAGACTCCCAGAACTCCAGCATGGTTGGCACCCCTGGTTTCCTAGCTCTAAATACCGGGAAGCCCCCAGAAGTCCCTGTTACAGTCAGAAATGTCACCAAACATTTCCAGATATCTCTGGTTGTTGACAGACTCCCAGAGCCTGGTGGACTTGTTTACCATGAAACCAGGGAAGACAGGAAACTTTCTTTTCTGTCCCTTTTATTTTCAGCCTGCCTATCTATCTATCTACACATCTATCTCCTTTTTCTTTGGTTTTCTTTTTCTTTTTCTTTATTTTCATCGCAGTGTGAATAATGACAAACATTTTGAAACAAGAATCTTTATTAAAGAAAACAAACTCATTGGAAACAAACTCATACTTAAAGGGAAGGCTGAGGAAGGATAGAAGAAAAGAGGAAGGTAGAGTTGTAGGTGGAGAAGCTGGAAGAAATGTTTCTGCCACCTTTGTCTGTGGCCCCTTGTGATTTTTCTCCCTGAAGCCAATGAGATTTCCTGTAAGAAGGCTCGGGTACAGCTGCATTATAGGCTGTAACTGACCTCAGAGGTACGAGCAAATGGATTCCACTGAGAACGTGGTTAGAATGGGGGAAGGGTTTTAGGTTCAGACGCTTGTTGTGGAGAACAGATTGTTCCTAAGGCTCACTGTGGCTCTCGAAATGTGCGGGGATGGGGGGTGGGGGCATTACCCGATCATCCCAAGCCCCTTCTCATAAAATGATGTAACTTACCCCGTTCTCCAGGAGCATGGGCCCCAGAATAATTCCAGCACCCAGGGAGAACATTTCCCATTTTCAATGTCTGCAAAGTGAAGTTCTCCTTTTGCGCCAAGACCGTTTTCTCAAGATAGCATACCTGGCTAGCATCTAAGCATTACACCCCTTAGCTCACCACGATCGCTCCAAGTCACGCGTTAATGTGTCTTTCGACTCTGCACTAACCCTTGTGGACCATTCGTGCCATACTGAAGCTGACTTTCTACTTTATTTTTTCAGTTGTTCATGGTGGACAACGGAGCAGATGACTGGAGAATAGCCATGACTTATGAGCGTATTTTCTTCATCTGCTTGGAAATACTGGTGTGTGCTATCCATCCCATACCTGGGAATTACACGTTCACATGGACGGCCCGGCTTGCCTTCTCCTATGCCCCATCCACAACCACCGCCGATGTGGACATTATTTTATCTATCCCGATGTTCTTAAGACTCTATCTGATCGCCAGAGTCATGCTCTTACATAGCAAACTGTTCACCGATGCCTCTTCTCGAAGCATCGGGGCACTGAATAAGATAAACTTCAATACCCGTTTTGTTATGAAGACGCTAATGACTATCTGTCCAGGAACTGTACTCTTGGTGTTTAGTATCTCATTATGGATAATTGCCGCCTGGACTGTCCGAGCCTGTGAAAGGTAAGTTTGTTTCTTTTCCTGGGAACATAATTTGCAAGTGGGAGGAAGAACACATTTCAGACCAGAGGCACTCGATGACTCACGCTTGGAAATGTTGGATTCTCTGGTGTTTTAAAACGAGTCTGACAAAACTTTACTGCACATTTTTGCTTACAGTGATGCCTTGATGATTATGTACTTTTTTCCTTTTTTTTTTAAAGAGAGGGGGAGGAGAGCACCACAGGGGGTGGGGAGGAGTAGAGGGAGAGAGAGAGAATCATAAGCAGGCTGCATGCCCAGCACGTAGCCCTACTGGGGGCTGAACCCCCAACCCTGAGATCATGCTCTGAGCTGAAGTCAGGAGTCGGATGCTGAACCAACTGAGCCCCCCCGATGCCAGGTGCCCTGATGATGCATTTTACTTTCCGATTGGATCAGTTTTCTAGAGAGGGCTGTCTTTATACTCTGTGTCAAAATTTGGAGACCTACAAATTTTATAGGAGGTTTCTATCCGAAATGTCTGTTTCATGGTAACACTGAATCATTTGGGTGCCTCGTTGGTGATAGTATAGATTATTGTTGAGACAGAGATCCAGTGGAAACAGGGTGATTCAGGCTGTCTGAACTTTTGGGAATATCTCAGTGTGGTCGGTCGATTGTACTGCCCATTTAACCCAGTGTTCATGTGACGACTGGTAAGGAGCTTATGGGTATACTATTTGGTTTTTATCAAACTCAGCAGTTAGTGAGAAGGGGACGTGGGGTTTGTTTTATTGTCTGAGGTACTCTGGTGGTTTAGAGATAGACATACATTCTTAGAATTTAGGAACTGCCCAGTGAGTCTAAATTAATTAGTAATAGCGTCAGTGATATTAACCTTGCCATTTTAACAAACAAAAATAGATTTGTTACATAAATAAGAGGAACTCTCTCATAATGAGGGGTGAAGCCTCATGAGACCTTGGTTAAGAAAATCCAGGTTGAAATTGGCAAAAGATAGGAACAATTTAGTAATTGATAGAACTGTTAAATCTTAGGATGTTCTCCGTAATGACCAGATTTTTTTTTAGTTTAGATTTTGAAAATTGAAGGTATTATGTATACAGTTTAATGAAGAAGACTATCTGTATGAGAATTGTTGCAAAAATAGCAAACCTATAATATCCCTTCCCTATTTTGATTTTTCGTAAGCAGTCACTCAAAGATCTTTTTTTTTTTTTTTAAGATTTTATTTATTTATTTGAGAGAGAGACAGTGAGAGAGAGCATGAGTGAGGAGAAGGGCAGAGAGAGAATCAAAGATCTTTTAGTCAGTGTTTTTAGTAATTGCTTTTTGTATTTCGGGATGCTATAGCTTATGTTGCTACCACTAGGTTTTTCATTAGCTTTTTAGGAAAGTTGGGATTTTAGTTTTCTTTCACACATATATACCCCTTTCATGACTCCACCCTCCAGAAGAGTAATTTCCATCTCCCCAATAAATTATGTCAACACTGATCATTCTACGTTAACATCCTTATGACTATGTAAACTGCATTTGTGCTTGAACTATGTGTAGTATTTTGTTAGCATTTTGCTTTTCCTGTATGTCTTTTTATTTTCCCTAATTCCCCCCATATATTTTAAATATTCTTTTGCTAGATTCATGTATATTGAGCAATCTATCAATTTCACCTTGAAAAACAATTTTTACTTCTAACCTATTTGCCCATCATATTGGGAATTTCTTCTGGATTCTTTGTACGTTGGCTACCCTTTTTCTTGAACCCTGTTTCTTCCTCGCTTTTCACCTATCCTTTGTTTTGGCAGAATTCATCTCCCTAGCTTTTAAGAAAAGGTAATAGGTGAGAGAGAGAGAGAATTTTTTGAGAGCTTATAGATACGGTTATTCTTCTCTCCCTTATTTGATAAGGGGGCTGGATATAAAACTCTAGATTGGAAATCACTTTTGCTCAGAATTTCAAAGCCTTTATTTTCCTCTGGCATCCAGGATCCAGCAATTTGTTACTGTTCTCAATTTTTGATGCTTTTTTTTCTTTTTTCTGGAAGCTTTTAAGATTGGTGTTCTACAATTGCAACAGGATACATCTTGGTGTGAATCTATTTTAATCTAGAGTACTGGGAATTTAATAGACTTGTTCGATCTTGGAATGAATATCCTTCAGTTCTTGGAAATTTTCTTGAATTATTTAATGGTTTTTGTTCCTGTGTTTTGTTGTGCAGATATTGGTCCTCCTCTATTACTTCTTTAATTTTCCCATTTTCTTTCTTACTTTTTTCCATTTCTGTTTTTGCTCTATGGAAGATAACCTCCCTTTTATCTTCTGTACTTTCTATTGGACTTTATTTTCTTTTTAACTTATATTAATTTCCAGGGCCTCAAGTTTGATCCCAAGTGCCCTTTGAAAAAATAACATCATACTTTTGTTCTTGGATGCCTTGTTTTATTTGTTCAGGGATGTTAATGATAATTTTTGAAAATGTTTTCTCTTTGTATATGTATTGTTTCCCCCAAAGATTCATCTTTCTGTTGGTTTTGGCTTCTAGCTTTCCTTAAGTAGTTAGGCGACCCCAGCAGTCTGTTCCTACATGACAGTGTAACCTTCAAGGGCTGAGTGGAATTTTCTTTGCATATCTAGAAGTTGTCAACTGTGAGCTTCACTACAGGGTCGTTTGGAGTGGGACAGTGCCAGAACACCAATTTTAGTATCTTTACATATTTTCTGTTATCTCTAAACGATATGACAGGCTCATGGGATGGTGTTTCTTCTGTCCTACCTTGAAGGCGCAAGCTTAGGGCACAGTGTACTGGAATTGAAAGGGCAGAGAAGAGGTCTCAACCACGAATCTGCGAACCTTTATTTGTTTTCCGAGTTGTAGCATGGTAGCCTACTCTGCGGTGCTTGATACCATCAGCCCGCTGACCTGTGTTTTACCTCTCGAGACAACAAACTTCCAGGTTTCTGCCAGTTGGCAAAAGGTACTAGAAGTGACAGAGAGTGGAGAAGGGAATCTAGATACCTAATTGCCTTTACACATATCTGAACTTGTCCTCACCTTTCGGGCTGTGTCCTGATCTCCACTTGCAGAGGCACAGGTGCCAAGGATTTTTGGAGTTTTTGGGTGGGACACGGGTTGGTTCTCAATGCCAGTATGGTTTCTTCGTGATTCTTTACCATTCTTGATCTAGAATTCTCCTTCCGTGAGTCAGGTAAGCCTGTGATCACCTGTCCATTGGCTTTGTCAATTCCCTTCATACTGTCTTGTCACTCATTCTTGCTGTGCTCATGGGCTTCTGCTTTGTAGGCTTTGTTTTTTGAACAGTTATTTACAGTCATTTTCATGGAGTTGAGGGAGCCAAGGTCAACATGTTTGTCAAGTCTATTTCACAGGAAATTCTGGAGCGATTAGTTTTTAGTATCAAGTATCTGAATCTTTTCTCAACCTTTTCTTTGTAACTATGGCATTTGAAGGATTAAAGTTTTCTTCTTAACGGAACGTGGACTCCTTATAGCAAGGCTTTATTTGCTAGCAGTCATGGTATTTAGAGGCTTATGATATTTTCTGGAGCAGAAACCTATAAAGTTTGAAGAATAAATATGGAAAACCTTAGCTGATAAACCCATTTAGTTTATGAAAATTGCTCTTAGTTGGAAGGTAGATATAACAAAGTACCAGTGAGGGTAGAAGCATAGTTGAACTGTACATACAGCTGTATGAGTGGTCCCCAATGCATCTGCTCCCCAAGGACCCAAGAGACAAATAGCCTCAAAACTGAGCACATGCCATACATTTTCTCTTCAAAAGCAGTCCATCTCAACTGTTTAAACCCATCTTCACTAAATTCAGAAGACCTTAGGCAAATGAGGCCACATCTGTCCAAAGTGTGTGTGTGTGTGTATGTATGTATGTGTGTGTGTGTATGTATGTATTTTTAACAGGCTGACATTGTGAGGTGACAGACCAGTCCTGGGTTCACATAAAAAGACACTAGAGCCTGAAATTTGCCCATTTCGTATGAAGACTGAGAATCTGTAGCCTGCAGTTACATAACGGGAACAAACTGTGGCCTGGTGGGGAAGGGAAGGAGACCAGACTCTGGACTGGGACACTGGGATTTCATTCATTTGTTCAACAGAGGGGCTGAGTGGCCTCAGGCCAACCAGCTCGCTTCTTTTTATCTTAATTTCTTCATTGCAAACTAAATGGATTGATAAACTTTCTTCTTCCAAAGGTAACATTTTCTAATTGTACAGATGAGTAAAAGAAAATAAAATCTTGGGGTGCCTGGGTGGCTCAGTGGTTTAAAGCCTCTGCCTTCAGCTCAGGTCAGGATCCTAGGGTCTTGGGATCGAGCCCCGCATGGGGCTCTCTGCTCAGCGGGGAGCCTGCTTCCTCCTCTCTCTCTCTCTGCCTCTCAAGCTACTTGTGATCTCTGTCAAATAAATAAATAAGGGGGGAAAAATCTAAAAAAAAAAAAAAGAAAAGAAAATCTTTAACCAGTGTTGTGATAGTAGATTTTAACAGTTCGTTTTTCATTTGAGCTCCCATTTTGTTGCACAAAATCTCCAGATTGTGACTTGTAAAATGCAAAGATTAAAAAAAAAAAGAAATTAACCTTTTTTTATAAAGTTTGATATGATGTGGTTCACATCTTATATTTCCTTATGTTTTCCTTCCTTCCCTTCTTCTACCCTCCCTCCCTGCCTCCCCTCTTCCTCCCCGCCCTCCCTCCCTCTCTGCCTCTCCCTCCTTCCTTTTCCTTTTCCCCCTCCCCTTCCTTCCTTCCTCCCTCCCTCCCTTCCTTCTTCCTGATGTGACTTTGCAGTACTTCATACAACACACAGCTCTCCTATTTCTTTGGTTTGGAATTTGAATTTAAATGCACCTCCCAGGCCCATCTTTGAGCTCTCCAAGTATTCTCTCCAAGTATTAAAGGGGGATTCACACCTAATAGAAATTCTCTTCTTAGTTAATTAGAACATGTCTAGGAATTTTTTAAAAGGAGAAACTTTGGGGGCA